CATCTGAAATTTCCTGTCTTTTGGCACCTTTTAACTTAAAATACCCAAATTGAGAAAAGGCCAGTGTCCTGGATCTTGTCTGCCTTTATGATTTTGTAATTTTTTCCAACAATGCCATCTGGACTACTTTATTATCCAGTTTTCTTTGCGGGATGTATCAGCATACCGTCTGGTGCTTTGTAATATCATCTCCCAGCCAGAAAATCAAATTTCTTCAACATCCTTTTCCCAGCTTGTGTCCTCTTGCTGTCAGATATTAAAACTGGAAAGATACTGAAGTTGGCAGAAGCCCTGAACATTTTCTTTAGCATTACCATCAAATCTTAACTTTCTGGCTCCTGTTGTAGCCAGGTGCTACCCCATAGTAGCATCTTTTTTGTCTGATTTAATCAGTATGTGCAGTGCAAATCCAGGTACAGAAAAAGTATTGGAAGAGTCCCACTGGAGGAAATAAAACTAAAACTAACTTTAATCAGTCAGAACAGTTGTGTATGAAACAATCTATTATCAATCAATAGCTTAGCAATAAAGGAGAATATTTGTAGCTCAGGATTGAAATCAGAGGTCCTTGATGCTCTCTGAGCTTGGTTGCTTTCTTGCAGACATTTCATTATCTAAGCTCAGTAACTAAGTATTATTATTGGTTGTATGTTTTCACTTGATTAGAATGTTTTTTTCTTCTGTTCAGTTATTCTTATGGTTCCTTATATTTCTTTACTGTTTACTATATCATCACTATAATTTATTCTGCAATCCTTAATTTCACACTGTTGGATTCAGTATTACATTTATATAAATTCCACACAGGTATAGGCCTTCATCTCTTTTAGATGATGCAGTGTAACCCAGTCTCAATCAATCGATTTTTTTTAACCACCAGTCATAAATAGCAGTATAACACATTTTGTTAGATTGCCTTGCAGGTGTTTTGGCTCGGATGTCATTGCACATCTTAAATATAGTAAGACATTTTGCTCCTGCTCCTGTTATTATTTTTCTGATCATCCTATAGCCATGAGACTAGAAAGCTGATTATTTTCATTTCTGGACTAAGGTAGCAATTCATCAGTTATACACGACTTTCTGCCTTTATTCAATCCAAAAGATGTCTGTTAGGACACTTTGTGATGTTTTCTCCTTCTGTCAAATTTCTCCTTTGGCAATACTTCTCTACGGACTTCCAATCTAGTCACATTATCATTTTTCCAGCTCCCCCTATAGATACTGTATTCTTCATTATCCTCATTATCCTTCATTCTCATTATACGCTTCGGCAAGTAATCTGATCCAGTTTGTTCCATTTACTAGAACAACATTTTGTCTTTGGGTGTTTATGTCTCTGGTTCTTGTTTTGTGAAGTCAACTGACTTTGACCCTTCAATTAAAGTCTAAATTAATGCAATTTATAAAGGAGCTAAAATAGCTTTAGGCCTTGCTTTAATGGAAGGACTATGGAAGCTAGTGGAAATTGAACATTTTAAAATAATGTCCATATGCATGTATGTGTATAATTAAGATTTAAGATTCTTATATTACCTATTACCCATATTATCTTATAATCTAGTAGTTGAGCTGACTGTTCCAGATTTTAGATTTTGAAAATAGATTTATTGCTTTATTGAGAATTAATTGCATTTTAATTTTTAATATTGTATTTATTTTGTATATTATATATTAAGTTTACATATTTTAACACAATTATTTGCATGAAATAGTACTAATACTGTGGCAAAAAAATTAAGGCACTTCATATCAATACCAAACTTCCTATGTTAGTAAAAGTAGGGAATAAAAATTTCAGTGAATTGTTTTGATTTATATCCTCAACATTAACTCCATTAGATTTAATTCTCTAAGAAATCAGTAATTTTGGAACAGTAGCACTTTCCTGCAGAGAAGTTTTTCAAAAGTGAAGTTTTACTAGACTGCATATAATTAGCAATGACTATGGCTAGCACATTCAAATGAACATTCAAATGAACAAAGAAGTAGCAGGTAAGAAGAAAATGTATAATAACTGAAGGGCAAAACTGTTACTATAATTGAATGCCAATGACAAAATGAGAATGCATAATGGTAACTGCTGGAATAATGATAGCAGCACACAAGTTATTCCACATTCTTTTGTTCTTAACGATAATAATATAGTTTTGTTTAGAAAAAAAATGAAGGTAGTTGCAAATGATATAATTTACAGTGCAATCAAAGAGTTTGTCTCAGTAGCATGGTCATAAATATGTAGCATATTGTTAACAGTGATAGTATATATTGGTCAAAAAAGACATTGGTTTTAAAAGATCTATTCATAAAAGATTATTATTGAAGTAAATGGATAATTTCTACAATCAAGTATTTTCTTGTGGACATGTGTTTCTTGTTAGAGAAAGATGACTTAAAAGTGATCATTTCTTTAAGAACTTGAAATGATGAGTGAGGACATAATCAGGTAAAAAAGAATTGTTGGGTGGAACTTGGATTGGGTCTTTAAAGATTTACAGTAACCAGGACTTTTGCTGTAGTTTACACTATAAGATTTACACTAACCAGGACTTTTGCTGTGCTTGGAGCCAGATTTTTGAGTACTGACAATTGTCTTAATTAATCCTTGCTGTTTTCCTGGAAAGGATTTTGGAAGTGAATTGGTATTGCCTTCTTTCTAGGGAGGAGAGAGAGAATGATTGGCCCGTAGTAACCCAGCTGACTTTGTGCCTAAGGCAGGACTAAAACTCAAAGCCTTCTAGACTGATGCCTTAACCACTGCACCAATTTTGCCATAGTACTTAAACAATATGTGTAGTATATCGAAATACAAGTGTCTAGAGGAAACCTGATCCAGAGTAGAACTCTGCTCCACAGAGTTTGCAAAAGCCTTTGAGATGGGAAAAATTAAAATTGAAGAGGGTATTGTATATCAAACAGTGATAACACAGTCATACAAACATTGTCATTATAACAGCAATTGAATAGTGATAGTGTACAGTAAAGTAATAGAATAGAATAGAATATAAAAAGCACTCACATAACACTTTTATATATTATTTTTTACAAAATAAAACATCTCTCCCACTCTCATACGAAGATCTAAATAAACCACTTGTCTGGGATCCAAGGCTCTTAAAACCTGAGTCAACCTGACTGGGTAAGATTTAAAAAGACAATATCCCCCCGGAGATAAAACAGGCTATAAAAATACTACCCTAGTGCAGGAATTCTCAATTAGTGCACCCTGGATTTAAATTCACCATTCTTTTAACTGTATAATATTAGCCCTAGCTATTGAATGAAAACATTCCTGTACTCTGCAAGCCCCACAATAAGTGTGCCTGGTATCTTCTCATCTCCATGGACATTTTTTTGACTTTGGCTGGCCAACAAACCACTTTTCCATGCACACTGAAACTGAGTTGCAAACATTTCTGAGTCATATTAAGTAACACATACTAGATACATAGGTCATTTTAATATATATTTTAATACATTCTCCCAGTGACAGTCCCAGCACACACACACACACACACACACACACACACACACACACACACACCATTTATTTGCTGCCCATCTCACCACAACGTGAAACAAGACTTAATCTCATTTGAACTAAAAAGACTACTCGTAACTATTCATTAGCTGAAGAAGTAACAAACAGAAATTGGAACCCATATTATTCAGAAATACAAATAACAAAATAACTTTATTTTTAGTCTACCAGCAGAAGTATGTCAAATACTTCTCACATTAACAATCACTATAGCAGAGTTTCCCCAACCTTTTCAGCTTTGAGGACCAGCCAGGGGGTGGGGGAGAGGGGATAGTCCCCCAGAGGCAGCAGACAAGCAGGTCCAGGTGCAGCTTCATTTGCATGAGTGGCAGGGATGCGTGCCTGCCGCTTAAACCTATGGAATGCACTTACCCGCTGCTCACACAAATGAGGATGCACATGCTCGCCTGCCTGCCACTTCCACAGTCCAGTTCTGAAAGCCCAGTAGGGGGTCAAGGCCCAGGGGGTGGGGACCCTTGCACTATAGAATCTTAGCAGTAGGAAAACCTGTCTTCAAGGAAAAAAAACAAGGAAGTCCAGTTGCCTCCTGAAAAAAGCACCTTTGGGACAACCATAACCTGGATGACTGAGAATCTCCATATAGCTGTAGGAAAAGTTAATCTTTGCATTTATGGTTTCAACTTCAGTCACAAATTCAAAGCACAAATTTTAATGTGACAGTATAAACTCCTTTATTAACACACCCAGCTCTATATCTGAATCAAGCCACCTTCAACTTAATAACGTTGAGACAAAAATCTATGAAGCTGATACCAATAATATTTGATATATAGACAAAATTCTGGCTGCATGAACTTTAGCTTGTTGCATGGGAACAAAGCAATATTAAAGAATAAAATACATACAAAGCCATTAATAATATGTTGCCCATTGTATAATCTTTATTAAAGCAAAACTGAAAGTGACTCAAAATTTCAGGTCACTTGATTGGTTTCTGATATGAAGGTATTATTTAAAGTCACTGATATGAAGGTATTATTTAAAGATCTAAAAGTAAAGTCCAATAACAGAACTGGGGAAAAAAAAGATAAAACCCTAGGGCCTCTAATACAGGGAGCTGCAATCAAATAATGGCTTGGCTTTTTTTTCTACTAAGTTTCAGGATTATATTAAATTAAATGTATATATAAAATACTGATCAGCACTGAAAATAATAGCCTAGAGCATGAATGCAACAGGGTGCCATGTTGTTAAATAAGCATCCAGTTAGAGCTGTAATCCTACATGTTCAATGTTTTGAAATGGTATTTTATCTTAGCATTTTCATTGTAGGGTAGCAATAGAAGGCAGTTGAAACCTCATGATCCATACATTTTATATTTGGATATGAAAGCTCGGCTGTTTTTCTGTGGAAAATGTGTAAAATCTGAATACAAAATAATTAAAGTCCTTTGAAATGAAGGGTCATCTAAAGCATGGACAAGAATAGAATACTCACGTGGATAATCTTTTGGATGTGATTTCTCTGACCAGTTTCCATAAAAGGTAAGTCTATATTTAGCAGTTCCACAGGCGCAGCAGTCTATGATTGGCTTATCTGTCACACCTTCCATGGCAAAGTCTAATAAGAAATAATAATATGAAACATTATTTTGTGTAATATGTAACTGTAAAAGGGTTGTGTTCCAATTCAAAGACAATAAGCATATCTGTGAAGGGATTTCATTAAATGAAACAGAATTAGCATAAAATAATGCAAAGATTGCCTTCTTCCTGTCAGAAATCCCCAAGGATGATAGTAGATAAACGCTGGAACAGGCATGTGCACAGCAACTTCCCAGGATACAGATATTTCATGTTTCTTTGTTGCTTGTGTACCTAGGACTTGTATACTAAAATAGTTTCTATATCTATGCGTCAATGTTCTGACTGATGAACCCAACCAAAGCAAGCATGGCTGAGATGATCCAATCTCTTAATGCAAAACTTTATTGAGTACATCATATTGGCAAAGATTAGGGCAAAACCAGATCTAACTATTTCCTGTACAAACAGTTAAAGTTCAGGTCCTCCCTCACCATTAGACCAGGTTACATTGTCCAATGAAGACTTCTGGTATTGTAAGAAAGGGTTTTTTTTTTTTGGTTCTGGTAAACACCTGCTGAAATGTCCTTGGTTCCCATGGCTGGCATCTTGATGTCTGAAGCTTAATTCTATCTCCCCCTTCCCTCCCCCCATAGTTCATTGGCAAGCTGAGAAGCAATAATGCAGTAAACAGTAACAGTAAAAACTCCATATGAAGTTTGACACTATGTTCTTTTGCTTACTTACACCTGTTATTTACTTTATCTTGTCAACACAAAATGAGGTAGCACATAACTCTATACTCTATTCTTTCAGGAAGTATTATGAACAAGTGATATTACATAGGCATACCAAAGCATGTCAATGCCTACTGATGCTACCACATTTAGGATCAGTCCAATAACCCAAATAGGAATTATGATTCATTATTTGGTTCTTTTACTGAATGAACTTCCCTAGGAAATAATTTCACTTTTCATTACAGGAAGGTTAAACATTCAGCAGTGGATAAACACATACAGCATAGATTCAATATTGAAATAAAACTGTGTATTTTAACAAAGTGTATTTCATTGCCAAAAGCAAGGCTACATATTTATATGATATGCTTTCCTCATATAGTTTAATTCTAGAATTTCAATTTTGCTCAAAAAAACTAGTAACACAAATATTTCATAATGACTTGGAAAAAGAAGTGTTAGTGATTCAAATTCAACTTTATTAAGTCACCAAACTTTGATGGTCTGCAAAATGTTGAAATTCTAGACTTGGCAAATACATTTTTGAGAGCCAATATATCCTTCTCTTTCTATGTAAAATACAGCTCTAGTTATTTGTAAATCTCAGCTGACTGCACATGTAACCTTGAATGCCAGGGTACATTTGTGATCGTGAACTAAGTTGGACCTAGAGATGGCCTTTTATTTATAATGACTTCAGTTCAGCTGAAATTCTGCCTGATGGGAGTCAGAAGCGACAGAGGTTACCTGCCATTTTTCAAAGGTTATTTGCATTCTTCATTTGTTGCTTCTCTCTCAAACTTCTGATTCTCTCTCCCCTTTTTGAAATGACTCTACCTACATGTGAAAAGGCCTGAAACATAGTTCCATAAAATACCATATATACTGCATATATATGAGATATTGACAAGAAAAGCATTGTGTTGTAGAATTCTAGGGTATCTCTAAGATCAATTCTTCTTGTTTTCTCTCTCACATTATGGTGGTCCCACCTTAAAATATTAAAGAACATTGATTTGGGGAATGGTGTGTCTCAAATCTCTTCTTCCATTGGTGTTCATGTTTTGATAGTACAGATAAATTTTCCTAGATATACTTCTAAACAACAATTCTTCCTATAGAATAGAAGCCCCAAAGAAAGGCAATATCATTCCCAACTGTTATTTTAGAAAATTCTGCTCACTACCACAGCAGAGTCTACAGGTAGAACATGGTATAAGCAAATGTTTTGTACATACACTAATACTTAACTGTGAAATAAAAATAAAAAACATCCTGTAAAAAGAGAGTTTCAAAACATTTTGAGAAGCAGAATATTTTCCTTCTTTTAGAAACAAATGGATGCAGTTCAGATTCTTGACAAATTGTTTTGGCTTTTAATGCTTCCTTTGACTTTTCTGCATTCAAGACCACAAAACAGACATCTCCACTTAATTTATGTAACTTGCTCCACTGACTTTCCTGAGCACATTCACCCTTTATGACATAAAGAGCTGTTTCAAAATGAAAGCTATCTGCATTACTAAAAAGACTCAGAAAGTGAGATAGCCTGGCAAGTGTCAGATATGTCATGTTCTATTAAATTCAGTTAAGCATCTTAGAACACATACTTCAGGATATTTCAGGAAGAGTATAAAAATCAAGGCCAAATTATGCTAATCCAGGATTCTTGGGTCAAAGGGGAAAAGATGAAGGCCTTGGTATCTCTTTAAAAATGACTATTATTGAAAGAATGAACAGCCACAAATAAAATAAATTGCAGTGGCAATTTCCTCTGCAGAGCTGCATAAAAGAATCACTAGTCTTGTGCAAGAAAATCCAGAAAGCATTCTCTGGAAGGCTTCAGCATAAAAAATTATGCATTTTGAATGTAATCTCAAAAGAAATTATCTGCAGAACATTCATTTTATAATCCTTCTAAGTAAACTGTTCAGGCCAATGAAAATGTGGGAGATACTATATCACTAGCACTGTTGGAAAGTTGAATGACCTGTCCAGTGTGCTTCTGTTAACAAAAATGCAAAAAAATACATCTTCTCTTCTGACAAAATATTTCAGATTAGCTGTGTGAAAGTGTCATGATGAGTCTCCGTGAAGCAACTTGGATGTCATTATGGTGGCAATTGGAAAAAAGGCTATTTTGCATTATTCCTGCACCTGAGAGATGAAAGGAAGATGAGTAGATATGACTTCCTATATGCCACTTGCTTCTCTCAGTACAGTGGAACCTCTGGTCACGACCGTAATCCATTCCAGGACTTTGCAACCTGATTTGGTTGTGACCGGAAGCAAGACTAACTGCGCATGCACGAACAAAAAATGGGCACGGGAGGGGAAATCACTGTGGCTGTGTTTGATTGCCACCCGAGGATGTGTTCATGACCAGATGCAAACATTTTCCAAAATTTTTGGTCATCACCTGGATTTGGTCATAGTCAGAAGCATTCATGACCCTAGGTTCCATTGTAGGGACATTACTCTGGCATGATTAGCTTCTTCTAAGCATGCAGTTTTTATTGTTTAAAATCTGAGGTGTGTACCATACGGTAGACTAGACTAATACTTTCATTGGAACAGCTCTAGTAACAGAAACTTGCAAACACTAATTGTGTTTTCCTTCCTCCCCCTTTTTAGTTTCACGACAATTAAGCCCCCCCCGTGTGTGTGTGTGTGTGTGTGTGTGTGTGTGTGTCACTATCTCTCTGTCTCTCTCTCTCTCTCTCTCTAGTGTGTCTCTGTCTCTCTCTCTATCTATCTTTGTGTATATGCTGTCTGAGAATTTTTGCAAACAATTTTTTTGGCCTGGGTTCCAGTTTCATCTACCTGATCATTGCCTCAGTAGTGGATCTTCCCTCCTTCAAGACCAGCTTGTTTATTCACTACAGTGTGTGTATTATCACACACATTTGATTCACTTGGGGAGGGAATGTTCATATAAACTTTGTTGCTACAATTTGAGAATTTAGTCCCTTTCCCAAATATTTAAATTAGCAGTTCTCCACATGCTCTTCTGTAGCATGTGAAAAAAGGTCAAATGTTCAGAACACCAGTTTTGTTTGCAACAATGCAGCTTTGTTTCAGCAGGCCTAAACATATATTGTTCTTTTCTATATTTCTATCCAATCAATAAACAAACTTTAATACCCATGTATGTGGGCTTGTTGCTACATTCTAAATCCCATAAAATTCTTTCTGTTGATACATAAACTTTTCCAAGACTATGATCTTGGTCAGAGTTCCCAATGCATAGAGCAAGAGTTATAGTCTGAGGAAATTTCAGAACAAATTTAGGAAAGAATATTATGAATAGGTAGAAAGGCCTACATAGAAAAGCACCTATATTTGCTTGTTTACAAATTTAAACATAGGTGAAGTCCAAGTCAAGATCACTATAAATTCTGAAAGAAAATTATTACACCTGAGAATGTAAAGAGCTGAACTGAAGCCATTTTGTGTTCTCAGTCTGAACTTTTAAAGTTCAGAACATTTATGCAATGTGTTTTCTACTAGAAATTATACAAGATTGCAAAACTAAGTTAGAGGTATGTGCTGGGGCATTTTGACATTATAAATCACATTCTTCTTCTTCTTCTTCTTCTTTTTCTTCAGCGTTTGTCTCGCGCTCGGGCGAGGTCCGCTAATGTCCTTACATTATAAATGACATTATAAATCACATTAAGAGATATTAATGGTCTTCTTATAATCTTCTGGTATTTGAATAACAGGAAATCTGACTATAATGAGAATGTTGGGAGTTTTCCATGAGAGGGTGGAACTTTCTTATGAAAAACGTTGTATAACTTCTATGTATGGAAAAAAGGAAGTGCTATGTAACCATGTGATTTGATAAACCTATATAAGCTGTATTCACTAAATGGAAGCATCTCCTTCCTCCTAAATAAGGTTGGTTTTGGAGTTGGGGAGTCCGATACTGCAGTATCTTCCCTAATAAAGCAACCTATGGATCAGATTATCAAAGTCTGTTGATTTATTTTTATGCACATCTCACAATTTGTAACATAAATGAATGTAGCATACCATTTGCAAATAAACAAGTTCAAAAGGTAATTTTGAGGATGCAGTTAATTTAGGAAGTAGTATAAATTTGTCAAAACATATCAAATCTGACAGATTTTTTGCACTGAAGTAAGTATGACTGAAAACTATTTAAATTCAACAGGTTATGTGCTCCCAGTTAAAAGAGAGAAATGTTGTGGGCAAATCATATTCGTCAGAGAGTAAAAAGAATGGAAACAGAAAAGGAGTATTCATCGTACCTGGCTCACACAATCTCTTGGTGAGAGATCCTTCATCTTGAAAATAAATAATTCGCTTTTGTACAATACTTGCTCTGTTTGAAAAGAGAAAAATATAGCATTTATAAAAAGCATTCAGTAATTAAGATATTAAAGTAAACTTAGTGCAAGAAGTAACATCATTTTCATTATATTATATCAATAGTTTAAATCTAAGTAAGTCTATTTGGAGATAAGAATTGAAATAAGGTTTTTTTTAACTATTCCTATCCCACCCCTCTCTCACTTTGAGTAAATTAAATTGTACATGGATGATTGAAAACTCTATGGACCATGGAGGCATGAAACCAATGTTCTCCTTCCTTTCTCCTTCTTGTTGATATGCCATAACACTCCAGATATTTCTTAAGGAACATAATATCTCATCTTATTTAGTATCCTCCACCTCATTTATAAGAAAGAGAAATATCAAACAATAAGTCACAAGTGAGATAAGCTAATAATTAGATCACAGTGAATTTTCATCATGTGATTAAAATTTATATAAGAAATAGTTTTAGAGCAGGAAGCCCTTACATTAAATATCTTCTCTACCATGAATACTCTGGAGGGTCTTACTAAAGTTACACTATTGTCTTTCTATATTTATGCATATGCTTATTTTCATTCTGATTACAATTTGCACCCATTTCTGCTAAAGTCTTCCATCATTCTAAGAGCAATGACATCATTTATTTAAGCCATAGAATGTCTGCAGTTTCAAGCATTGATACTTTTAAGTAGGATTTAAGATCCCCATTTTATCAGCACAGTCAAGAAAGAACTAGAGAGGTATTATAGATTCAAGAGTATGCTTAAAGAATGACTTCCTTAAGCATACCTGTGATGGAATTTTTCTGGCTCCAAATACGATTGAAGGACCCTTCACAGAAGGCTGTTGGGAATTAAGCAGGCTCACAATGAGAAGAAAAAGGCCATATGAATAGGCTTCTGCTCACAAAAGTGGTTGTTTTCATTCGCAGGAAATGCTTTTTTGTAAAGGCCAGATAGTTTTGAGATTATGCATCCAGCATTATTGAAATATCAGACACTCTTTTGTAAAGTTTACAAAGTCTTGTGCAGTCACAAAAATGGAACAAAGTTAAGCACAAACCCAGATTTTTGAAAGCCTCTTCTTCTTAGTCTTTGATTTTTAAAGTTTTAATGGATTATCAATACACTTTCTTTGGTATTGGAAATTTCAAAGTCCATGTTTTGATCTAGCAGCCACCAGACATCTTTTCTTTAAAAATATACTCCCAGAGAAAATCAGATAGAGTTTCTTTAAATGATATTTAAATATTAAATATTAATATTTCTTTTAAAGCTACCTTGATAAATGTCCATTTCTATCTGTGGGTATCAGTAGGTATCATAGGAATGTATGTACCCATCTGTAATTCACTTCTTTGAAAAATTCACTTTGTTTTGTTCTAATTTCAACCTTCTTTTTAGCACTAGATAAAAAAGAGGTTCTCAGGAGCTGTTCTATGCCTCAAGTAAAAAAAAAAAAATGCCACTTATATCATTATAAAAAAATATAAATGATTAAATACCATTTATCTGGAAACCAGAAATTTCAAAGAAAAAAGAACCTCCTTATTTCCCCTTTAGCATTTTGCTATACTTGTGAATTTCATAGGCCATGAGATAACTGACATCTTGCTATAAATCTCAAACCTGTGGCTGTGAAAAACACTTCATATGATAGTGTAGTAATTGTCATTATTACTATGCTTTCTTTTTCATTTTTTGTGTGCTTTCATTTGCCTCTCTCCTGCTTTTTTCAGTATCTCAAATCTTCAAATTTACAATTACAAATAACAACAAGAACAATCATAACAGTACAACTAAAGGGAAAAGTACAAATGTTTATGGCATACAACAAGGGTGTATTTATGCCGTGTAATGGGTGTAATACAGAGGTGTCAAACTAAATTTCATTGTGAGCCACATCAGGGTTGTGTTTGACATCAGGGAGATGGGTTGGGTGTGGCCAGGGTGGGTGTGGCTAGCTCGATGTCATTCCTGTTGGGGGCGCCTGTGGTGGCCCGACTGCTCAGCCAGTGAAAACAGGATCCCAAGCTCCATTTTTGGTTGCCACAGCCTCCTGCAACCCTCTGCCATTGAAAACGGAGCTCAGGAGGGCTGCATGCTGGAACGCTGACACTCTTTTCACTGGCAACCTGTTTTCACTGGCAGAGGGTTGCAAGAGGCTGTGGTAGCCGAAAATGGAGCTTGGGAGCCCATTTTCATTGGCAAAAGCACCACAGGTTGGTCCTTCACTATTTCCAGGGTATCCCCGCAGAGCAAATCTAAGTGCCCCATGGGCTGGATATGGCCCCTGGGCCTTAAGTTTGACACCCCTGATGTAATATGTGTAATCTTGGGTGTAATGGCCCAAGAACATAAAAGTGAGCTTAGAAGACCCACAAAAACATCACTTTGCAAGATAAAAACAAGAAATTCTAACATTTAGTTATGTAGCTTGTAAAATGTTGAAACTGTAGCTCCAGATATATCTAAAAATAAACTTATTGGGCTAATAGTTCTGGGTTAGATAAACCCAAGATGATAAGAGAGCATTTTCTATATGCTTCTACTTTTACCTAGAGGTCATTTGGATTTTTGCAGCCCAGATCTAGTAACTCTAATGAAAGAGCTTACTAGATGTGGCCAATTACTTTGACTGCATGGTTTTATAGGTCTATGCTTATACGGAATAGTTAATTCTTTGCTATAACTATTTATAGACATCCAAATACAAGTAAAATATCTTGTTATACACATGTTTAAGCTTATGCCCACATGAGAAATAACCTCATTAAATTCTGCATTTTTGTTTGGAAGAAAAGATGTGTGACTAATAAGGTGGTTAGTTTTTATATTTAAAGGCTTTCTACTAAAAAAAATATTGGAAAGTAGAGAAGGATATAACCAAATAAAGAATCCATTTTTCTGGCAAAAAACATCAAACCAAAAGCTATTGTTTTACAGTTTTCCTTTTTTTAATGGATATAGAAGATCAGGAGTTAGCTCACCTGGAATTAATCAGATACTGCCATCAGAAGAAATTAAAGATATATATTATGGAATTTGGGATATATTTGCTGGAAAACGTTGCTCTTTACAGTTCATGACAGTTCTAGAACATGACATAAAAGATAAAAAGCCAGTCATGTCATTTACCTATTTGGCTACTTTAGTAGAGTAGTTAGGGTACTGCTCCATAAAATTCCTGGTTCAAATGATATTTTCTCACAGACTTGCATAGTCATCCTCAGGCAAGTTAGTCTCTTTCATCCACTCTACATGGCTAGATGGATGGTTACAAATATACAGGGTAATTGAATCACACTATGGGAAGTACTGAAACTCTCAAGCACTACATAAATGCCAGGAATTATTAATACTGGAAAGTCTTGTTTTCATTTGTTAGGATAATAATCCCAAATGACCAAACATGGAGTGTTTAGTATGCTTCTGTGATACAATTAAGTATTAGATGTCCCCAATGCACTATCACTATCATAAAATGATAACATTAATAAGCCACTTAAAGTCATTATGAACATTCCAAACAGTTTTTCCCCTAAGCTATTTGATTAAGGGTTTGAATATTTATAAGATTTCTGTTCCTTTTGTGCTAACAAGATTTCAATTCTTGCTTTATTAAGTTGGGTTGGATGTTTCCCCCTGCAGTTCATTTAACTTCATCACGATAAGCCATCTCACTTCATATATGTCTGTGTCATTTGATTTAAATCAGTTTGGTTTCTTTTAGATATCACTGTCAGAGTGTCACTGCAGCTGGTGGACCTAGGCTTTGATATGTACAGGTGTAATTTTAAGGACTGAAGCTGGAAACTATAAGTCTTGGCCTTTACATCTCTTAACCATTGTCTGATAATATTCTTGAGAATTACATAAAAATCCAAGAAAAAGCAGGATACATTCCAGTAGAATATGTTCTGCACTTTTTTTGGATCCATATATTGAGAGATCTAAAGGCCAAGAGGGTCAACCCTGAAGCTGATCTGACTGAAGCCATCTTGACGGCTTCAATGTTGCCACACTGGAGCTGAGGGATAGAAAAGGGGGAATTGAGACAGCTGGAATTTTGTAGCCAGAACAAAATACTTTCTCTTGGGAACCAAGGATATTCTCACACCTGGTTTAGAGGAAGGCGGAGTGATGTCACCAGGCAACCAGACTTAACCTGTCCCTTTTTACATGTGTATTCAATAAGACAATAGACATTAAAAAGGAATCCAATGTTTTAACTCCCTGTTTACTCTTGTTATTGGACCCCAGATGCCTCTGAGTTATCAGCCCAAGAGTTTAAATCTTAAGCTTTTCCCTCCCACTCTTTTTGACTCAATTGAAAATTAGCTATTCATTTCTTAGTGCCTGGATTGCACCTGCTGTACATGATTCAGTCTAGACTGTGTGTAGTGCTAGTTGTCAGCTTTGGCCCTTAAAATTACATCTGTACATATCAAAGACTAGGTCTGCTACCAGCAGTGACATATTAACTCTGTTTAGTATCTTCACAGTAGAACACACCATTGCTATGCTACTAGCACAGAATTTCTACAGGTTCCATCACACCCTCTAAGTTAGGTATGCCTATAATACAAACTCTGTCTTCAATATCTCCACATTCACTGTCTATAGAGGGTTAACATCTGTTCTGACTCAATTCTAGATTGAATAAGAGTTTCTTTGGAGGACTCCTCCAAGCCATTACTACTGACAAGCTGTTTAGTCAAAAATTTGATGAAGCACTACCTAGTATGCTTCCAAGCATATTCAAATGCCTCTCGTTGCCAAGCTTGGAAAAATTAAAAGCAAATTCTTAATTAAGCTGTGAAAAGGTTGGGGAAAATGTATGCTGGTTTTAAAATGCAAAGGATATAAAAAGGAGTTAATGTTTAGAGAGAACAATCATCTGCTTGTGGCTTCATTCTATATAGTGCTACAATAGTTTTATTTTGTATCTATTTAAAAAGAAGCTTTTGCCAATTTAGAATCTGGAAGCTGACATACTAAGCAG